GGCGACGCCGGCGGCTTCCTGGCGCCCGAGGAGTTTAGTTTCCCTCCGAAAACCTTCCAGCCGATGTAACCGCTTAGCTCCGCGGTCCGGGGGAGACCGAGGGGCTCACGCCCATGGAGCCCACCCCTTTTCTCACTCCCGTCCCCATCAGTCTCCCAGTCTTGATGCCTGCTTTGTTCTTAGGAAGGTGGTGGTTACATTTAGGCAAACTGTTTGAAGAGTCTCCTTAATGCTTTTTTTTTTTTTTTTAACCAGTCCTGGGGCTTAAACTCAAGGCCTGGGTTCTGTCCGTGAGCGCTTCCATTCAAGGCTAGCACACTACCACAGCACCACTTCCGGCTCTTTCTGTGTACGTGGTGCTGAGGAATCGAACCCAGGGCCTCATGCATGCAAGGCAAGCACTCTACCACTGAGCCACCTTACCGGCCCCACGTTTGTTCTTTTACAAAGAATATGGAAAAAAAAGTTAAAAAAAAAGTAGACCAACATTTAATTTTGAGATTTCAGAATAAAGGCAATCGTGTGTGTGTGTGTGTGTGCGCGCGCGCGCGCGCGCGCGTGTGTGCACGCGTCCTGGGTCTTGAAATTGGTCTGGGTGCTGTCCCTGAGCTTTTTAGCTCAAGGCTGGCCATCTACCAGTTGAACCACAGCTCAACTTCCAGTTTTTTTGGTGGCTAATTGGGGATAAGAGTCTTGCATGCCTTTCCTGCCCAGGCTGGCTTTGAACCGTGATCCTCAGATCTCATCCTCCTGAGTAGCCAGGATTACAGGTGTGAGCACCCAGCTAACAAGTTACTTCTTGTATCTTGACAAGGCTGAGCATTGTACTTTGTGGAAGAAATGAATCTACAGTTGGAATTAAGTTTCTGGTTAGATAAGATAATGTTCCTCTTCTTACAGAAGGGAATGCAACGTAAGCACTGTAGACAATTGAAGCTTTCTGTGTTGATATGTTTGCAGATGGTTCTCTGATTATCTTTCCATTGCCCATCCTGTTCCGTGTTGCTACTGTAATGCAGGTTGAATTTAGTAATAAGCTTGTGATAGGCCTTACTGACTTAGTGCAGTGCTAGTGTCCAGTCCAGTCCTATAATGTGATGAATTCTTTTTGGGCTCAATGCTGCAAAAATTATGAGTGTATTTGTTAAACAAATGAGATTAATGGAGGGATGTGTTAAACATAAAGCCTGGCATATAGGAAGTTAGTTAAGTGCCCAGGAAATGGTTATATGGAACGTTTGTGCTAAGTTTTATTCCAGTATGCAAATGTATATTTTAAAAATAACAGTAATGCAATTCAAGATGTTGATAGACCCTAAAATTAAATTTCTTAAAGGAAATAGGCCAGCCTTTTTTTTTCTTAAAGTTTGAGAACTAATGTGAAATAGTAAATAAATGCATGTCCCAGATGTCTAGAAAAGGAAAAAAAAAAAGCAGGATTTTAATTTTGACAATTACATTTTATTTCCCCTAAAGGAGTCCCTTAGTGTATATGTATATACTATGAATAGAACTTTGATTTGAAAGATAAAACTTGAAAAATAATTTTTATTTGAAAAGTGAAACTTGGAAGTGAAACAAAGCTTTGAAATTTACTGTAAGTGGAATGAAGCAGGATGAGTCCTGGATTTATGCAAATGTGCAAATGCTCTCATCCCATGTATCAGGCAGCCAGCCTAATGGGGATTAAATGCTGCTGCTTTGTGTGAGGAAGAGTAAGTGAGTGAGGCTTTCAGAAAATTGGTCTTGATGGGTTCTGAGACTCATTGGTAACAATAGCACAGGAGAATATTTTGTAGAGGTTATTATTATTATTTTTCCTTACCTGCTTGCTCAGGTGAGAAGAAATGGACTCATTCATTAAGCAGAAGTCCTTGTGCCTACTGTTGACCAGGAATCGCGCTAGGTTCAAGGTCTATGCTTGCTATTTTCTTGTTTCCTTTGTTTTAAATTAATTTAGACTATTCTTCTTGACCACGCATGTTCAGCATGCAGGCAGTCAGTGTATGTGTTAAAGCACATGCATTGCAAACCTTCACTATTGATGAAGTGTAGGAAATAGGGAATTTTAACAGGAATGGGAGACTGACAAATTTAGGAGGTTGCAGAATCTGCGTTAGTTTTCTCTTTGTGGATTGGCTGTCTAGCTGCTGTTTCCATGCCAGCAGATTTATCTATTTTACACTTAGTTCCTGGTTTTAAGAACCCAAAAGAGACTACATCATATAATTGTCAGTTTTCTCTTAAGATTTTTTTAAAAGCATGAAGTAAAAAAATCTTACAGCCAAGATAATTATAGCTTTATTTCACTTTTTTATTTTTATTTTTGTTCTTCCTTATGCCCCTATCCCTACTTTTATTAGGTGGCATGAGTTCTGGTGGGGGAGGCATACTTACATTTCCATACGTTTACAATATATTTCAGTCTGTATTACCCCTCTATCACTCTCCCTCTTTAAAACAATTTCAACAGGTTTCAGTGTTCTACTTTCATAGTTGTCAACCATTTATTTTGCCTATCCTCCTTGCTAGCCCAACCCTTCCTGCTAGGATCCTCTCTTGACAGAGCCTGTTTTTCTTTTCCTGTCCTCAGGCTGTTGGTCTCAAATTATTCTTACCAAGTATCAGCTGAATATGTCATCTTCTGATACTGTGTATTAGTGAATTGTGATCACATTTCACAACACAACTACTACGTAATATTAAACCTCTAGTCTTTATAGACTGGAAAAAAAATCACACTTAATGTTGCTACTCAAGGCATGTTGTTTATTTTGTAATATGGTAATAATCACCAGCATACAGGTTACAAATAATTATGAATTTTTATAAGCAGTTAAAAAAAGGCAATTTGAAATCAGGACATTTTTACATTTTTATCTACAAATGGTTGTACAAGGGGCTTACAGAATTTAATATGTCCATTTTTGTGTGTAGTGCATCTTGATCAGAGTCACCCTTCCCTCTTGCCCACTCCGACTTCCCCTTCCCATCAGTCATGTCGTTTTCCACTTCCTTTCCCACATCTGTACATCAAGTATTATAACTGCATTTACCTACCATTCTCTTCCATTCATCTGCCTCCTCCCTCCTCTAACCTCCCCCTTCATAACATGTTTCAGCTTCCTGATACTCATTTTGTTAAACCATGTTCTCTGTTCAAAGGGTTTACAAGTTGGAGTTTCACTTCTGAATATATTATACTTTAGTCAGCTTGGTTATGTACGTATGCATATGCTTCTGTGTGTTTACATTGAAAGTTGTATTTTGGGTGTAAGATCTACATAAGAGAAAACATGTATCCTTTGTCTTTCTGGGCATAGTTTACTTCACTTGACTTTTTCCCAGGTTCATCAGTTTCCCTGTGAATGACATAATTCTTGGTATGAGAAATTAAAATTTTTTTTAATGAAAATAGTCCAGGTTATAATATACTTAGTCTTTTTTTATAGGCTTGTAGAAAATGCTTTAGAAATAATAACTACTATATTTGTATTACTTTATGCTTCTGATAGGAATATGAAATACACAAGTACAGCCACTTTGAAAATTAGTTTTACAGTTTTGAAAAAGTTAAACCCATGCTGAACATATGGCCTAGCTGTTTCACACTTGGGAATTTATTTTAGAGAAATAAACTAATTCACTAGTGTACGAACATATACATGGATGCTTGTAGTAGCTTTATTTATAAGTCCAAGCCAGAAGCCATCCATGTCCTTCAGTTTGTCAAGGGTTAAATTGGATTTGATACGCGGAAGGCTACTCATAACAAAAAGGAATCAGCTATTGATGTAGCACTTTTGATTGAGCTTAAGAACTTCCTACCAAGTTAAGAGGCCAGTCACAAAGGTTGTGTGATTGTAGGATCTGTACCTGCATGTAGTGGGTTTACCTCTTGGTAAATCAGGCAATAAAGGGGTGGAGAAAGGTGTTTTTGTTTTTTTTTTTTAAACTTCCAACAAGGAGAGCACCAATTTGAGTTTGCCAAACTTCTCCAGGAGCAACAGAAACAAGGGGCTTTTACTGGGGGAAGTCCCCTATGTTCGTATAGGGAAGACTCACTTGTGGAGAGGGCACATTCGTGGCATGCTCAGTTTGAGGTCATAATTACAGTGTTCAAAAAATATGCCACCCAGGAACAGCTCCCGAGCAGAGAATTTAGTTTTATCATGAGCAAAATTGATTCCACGTCATTAAAAAGTGATTTGAGTCTGTGATTTTTGTTGGTTACTTGTACATTTCTCTAGTGAGCTTGAGATGAAACCAGAAGAAAAAACACAACTGAAGTCAGTGAGACAATCTTACAGAGGGTCAGCCCCCATCTGCCAAAAGTGTAAGAGCTCTCCCTAAAACTGGCTCACACCTATAATTGTAGCTACTCAGGAGGCTGAGATCTGAGGAACACAGTTTGAAGTGAGTGTGGGCAGGAAAGTCTGTGAGATTTATCTCTAGTTAACCACCAAAAAGCTGGAAGGGGGTTGTGGCTCAAGTGGTAAAGTGCTACCCTGGAGCAAGAAATCTCAGGGACAGTGCCCAGACCCTGTCCAGCACACATGCAAAAAAGCTGGCTGTGTAAATGGTTCCAGTTACATTCTGAGGATGACTTTAGAATGGGAACAGAGCAGTGTCTGGTTGGGTTAGGGCTGAGTTTCTTTGGTAATGGAGCAGTCTTATGTCCTGATTGTGCTGATGGATACAGTGTGTGTATGTGGGACAGAAGGTGGAGTACATGCATACACTCTCTCTTTCTCTCTCTCTCTCTAAAAACTGACATTGTGCTGGGCGCCAGTGGCTCACACCTGTAATGCTAGCTACTCAGGAGGCTGAGATCTGAGGATTGAGATCTGAGGTTGCAGTTCAAGACCAGTTTGGGCAGGAAAGTCCGTGAGACTCTTCTCTTCAATAAACCAATAGGAAACTGGAAGTGGCAGTGTGGCTCAAGTGGTAGAGTGCTTGCCTTGAGCTGAAAAGCTCAGGGACAGCGCCCAGGCCCAGAGTTCAAGCCCCACAACTGACAAAAAAAAAAAAAAACAACCCTGTCATTGTCCATTTCCTAGTTATAATAGTTGTACTACGCTTGCCCAGTGTATGGCTGTATAACATTTTATGTAATCATTCACCCATTGAAGGACATGGGGGTTGTTTCTAGTTTTTGGTGATTACAAACAAAGCTGCTCTGAGTATTCATTTTCAGGTTTTTGTGTGAATGTATGTTTCTATTTCTTCTAGGATAAATGCCTAGGAGTGTAACTGTTGGGTTGTGTGGTAAGTATATGTTTAACTTAGGAAACTGCCAAACTTCCAGTGTAGCGACATTTTACAGTCCCATCATCACTCTATGAGAGATCCAGTTTCTCTGTGTTGCCACCATTTGGTACTGGTTTTATTTTTGTGGGTAGAGGTCACTTTAATGTGTAACTTCCTAATAGCTAATTTTTCCATGTACTTATTGACATTGTGTCTTCTTCGATGACTTGTCTGCTCAAATCTCTTGCCCATTTTGTCAATGAATTGTTTGTTTTCTTATTGCTGAGTTTGGAGCTTAAAAAAAATATGTTCTGGATAGTCCTTTGCCAACTATATGATTTGTTAGTACATTCACTCAGTCTCTGGCTTGTCTTTTCATTCGTACAGTGTGGTTCACCACACAAACATCTGATAAAGCCTGGGTTGTCAGCTTATGGATGTGCTTTGAAGGCATGCACATCTTAGAATTCAATGCCCAGTCCTTTGTCAGGAAGATGGCCTTATGTTTTCTAGTATTATGTCTTACATTTATATCTGTAATCCCTTGGGAGTTGATTTTTACACAAGATGTGAGGTTTAGATATTGATTATTTTTCTTCTCCCTTTGTCTGTGAACGTCCAATTATTCCAAAACCATCTGTTGAAAATACTACTTTTTCCATATAATGGCTTTTTACACCTTTACCAAAATATTGTTTGGCCATTTACTGTAAACAGTGCCACAGGAAGAAATAAATAAACAGTTAAGTAAATGTTAATACAAGGCATGATGTGGTTTGAGTTTGGGACAAGAGGGAAAACATTTTAGAGAATAACATGAGCAAAGTCATGTCCTAGGCATGGATGTTTTGGGGAATCATGTGAGCAAAGGGGATGTGAAACTTAAGGCTATTTAGTTTAAGACTGTTGAAATTGCTGGTTTTGAGCAGGAAACAAATGGTATTTAAGAGAAGTTGTTTTAGGTGTATACAGGGCAGTAAGAGGTGGGTAGGAAGGGTGGAATGCAACCATAACCCTTGATCTATCACTTTGTATTTCACAGGTCTGCCAGAAAGTGATGTCATTTCACAATGTTCTAAGTGTGTGTTCAGCTTCCTGTCACTGGCATGCTGTCTGAGATGATCAACCTGTAAGGGGAGAGGTTTATTCTGGCTCCAGTTACTGGGGTTTCAGTCCATGGTTAGTTGGCACTGTGGCAAGGGAGAATCTCATGGTGAGAGTTACGATGGGGAAGCTGTTCACCTCATGGCATCTAGGAAGCAGAGAGACAGGAATGGAGTTCCCTACACCCTTCAAGGGTAGGGCACACCAGAAGCCTAACTTGCTTTTATCAGGTCTCACCTCCTAAAGGCTTTTACCAGGAGTGCCCCAGGCTTTTGAGGGTCCCTTTACCAAACCGTAGCAGTGGGTATGGTACATTTCAGACTTTGTCACTCTTCAGGTATAGATACTGAGAATTCTGTTGGACTTCCAAACTCCTTCAGAGTAATGCTACTTTCAGCAAGCTGCTCTTGTGGAAGAAAGTGTAGTTTTTTTGGCCCATTGTTAATATGGATGGTATAGATATATATTTTTTTCTGTTTTTTTTAAAATCAAGCTTGGAAAATGTCTTAGAGTTGAACAATGAAAGTGACTAAAAAAAAACAAAAACAAAAACCAAAGAGTTTATAAACTGGTCCAGTGAGGAAAAGTTAGCAGACTTATTGATCATAGTAAACAGGGTATTCTTTGTACACCCATACTTAGGAACTGTGCAGAGGATAGAGGACCTGCTTCTCTGTAAAACAACTGACAGTGAATGGCTCAAATTGCAGTGTTAGGGTTTTAGTCTTGGGAAAGAATTTCCAGATAGCAGTTATTCATGCCAGTAATCCAAGAGATTTTTAAGGGCAGAGTAGTAACCTGGTAGTTTAGGAACATTTTGTCTATAGTCAGGGGTATGATAGGTAGCTGTCATACAGATCTGCCCTTGGAACTTATTGTTTTTGGATTTGGACACACTTTCTTCCTTTTCCTTTTTTTCTTTTTCTTTTTTTTTTGAGTTTGAACTCAGGGACTGGGCGCTGTCCCTGAGCTCTTTTGCTCAAGGCTAGAGCTCTACCATTTTGAGTCACAGCTCCACTTCCAGTATTTGAGTGGTAAATGGAGATAAAAGAATCTCACGGGGAAGTGGTGCTGTGGCTCAAGTGGTTGAGCGCTAGCTTTGAGCTGAAGAGCTGAGGGACAGCTTCCAGGCCCAGAGTTCAAGCCCCACGACCGACCAAAAAAAAAAAAAAAGGAAAGAATCTCACGGGGACTTTTCTGCCTGTGCTGGCTTTGAACCGTGATCCTCAGATCTCAGCTTCCTGAGTAGATAGGATTATAGGTGTGAACTACCAGCACCCAGTTTAAAATATAATTGTTTTCTCATTACCCATTTCAGTTTCTGATTTTTCTATACAAATTAATTTTTAATCCATTTCGCATGAGAGAGTCTCATTTATTTTCTGCATTTAAAAGACAACATTTAAAATGGATATATATGGAGTTCATTGGATGTAGAATGCACTTCTGCTGTTTATAAAATAACCAGCTAGCCGGTAATCCTAACTAGCTACTCAGGAGACTGAGATCTGAAGATTGAGTTACAAAGCCAGCTGGGCAGGAGAAGTCAAAGACTCTTGTCTCCAATTAACCACCAGAAAATCAGAAGTGGTGCTGTGGCACAGTGATAGAGCACTAGCCTTTAACAAAAGAGCTCAGGGACAGCGCCCAGGCCCAGAGTTCAACCCCCACAACTGGCCAAAAACAAAACAAAAGAAAAAAAACTCAGCTAATGAGGGACAGCGCCCAGGCCCAGAGTTCAGGCCCCACAACTGGACCCAAAAAAAAACAGCTAATAAGAACCTACACACTGTGAGGTGAACTGCTAGAAATCAGTGCATTTTTACACTTACTTGGGACCATGGAAAACACAGCATCCCATTTAAAAACATCAGAGGTGACTTGTTGAGCAGGGGATTTTATGATGATACGCAGAAGTTGAGGACTGGCTGTGTGAAAGCTCCACTGTGATGACTCACTTGTTCTCAAAATACTTTCTGTTTGACTTAACTCCTTAGTTTGATTCTTTGCCACTAGTGAAGGTTTGTTTTTTCCCCCTGACTAAACGTTGAGATGGATCAAGCCTGTAATGCACTTGTGATTGCAGCCCTTCAGTCTTAGCACAGAGGAATTTTTTTTCCTACAGAAGAGCGGGCTCTTACAGTGCTATGCAAGCTGCCCACTTAAAACTATCATTGCTTGGCACCTATGCCCTAGTGACAGTTTGACCAACATGTGAGCAGGCACACTGCCATCGTGACAGATGGGTGTGAGTAGAGGCAGCCAAGAAACCATGTATCTGCATCTAGTGTATTTGTTAAGGGCAGGATTCCCAGTCAGGGACGTTCAAACGTCTGTCCATCTTGAGCTTTCACTCCTGTGGTATAAGGGATGTCATCATTAATCCCAGCTCTGACTGAGATTCCATGGGTATATAAGGGCTTTTTGGCACTTACAGAAGTAGGCAATTGGGGACAATCAGGATAATTGTTCTCCCCTTCATCACAGTACTACTTCAAATAATCCTTTCCTCTTTCTTCTAGCCAACTAGATTTGTAAGGAATATAACCCAGTTTATGCATTGTCCTGACACATCTGAATTGTGTGTTTCTTTATGTGTCTTCTAGAGCTTGAAAGCTTTGCTAGTCATTTAATATTTATCCTTTGTACAGAGAAATATAATTGGAGTCAAGTAGATCTGAGTTCAAATATTGACTACTGTACAACACTAGGGCAGCCTAATTTAGCATCAGATCACTTCTTGTGATACAGGATTGTTGTGAGAACTAAATATGGATTATGCATATTAATCACTTATATAAGATCTGGCCCACAGTAAATGTTAATGTAAGTGTCATCATTACTATGATATCACGTTAGCACACCTGAAGGTAGTTTTTCTATTGAGAGCTATTTGAAACAGTATATATATATTTTTAGCTCCTTTCAGTTCTTTTTTTTGGGGGGGGTGTCCGGTTGTGGGGCCTGAATTCTGGGCCTGGGCACTGTCCCTCAGCTCTTCAGCTCAAGGCTAGTGCTCTACCACTTGGGCCACAGCACCACTTCCGGCTTTTTTCTTTTTGCTTATGTGGTGTTGAGGAATCGAACCCAGGGCTTCATGCATGCAAGGCAAGCGCTTTACCACTGAGCCACCTTCCCAGCCCTCCTTTCAGTTCTTGAAAGTCACTTAGTGGACCTTATGCAGGTGTTTTATGGAAAATAATGGTAGGGTATTCCAATGATGGGAAACTCACTATGTCTAGGGCTGTTAGAAAGTTCTTTCTTTTTAAATATTTTTTTTAAATTGTTAGCATAAAGGTGTGCATGGCTTACAGTTACATAAGTCAGGTAAAGAACTTTTTTTTTTTTTGACGGTGTTCCCCTTCCCTTGCTCTGTTTTTCCCTCCCATCCCCATCCACAAAGTGTATAGTTCATTTTCAACATAGTGTCTAGAGAATACCACTGCTGCATTTGTTCACCCTTTGTCCCTCTATTTCTGTGTCCCTTACCCTTCCAAAGACAGATAAATGAATACACAAGACAAAAAAATTTCCTGGCGTTCATTTTGATAAATATTATTTTATATGATCAGATATACATAGGCCTTGCACCTTTGTGTTCCTCTCCTAAAACTCCTCCTTTGGTCTCACTGTGTGTGAATGCCTAGAGTCCCGTAAGAACTTTCTTATTGTGAGTGGAAATCTACTTTGTTACTCTTTTACTCTGTCCTTTGGAGTCCTATAGAACAAGCCAACTTCATTTTCTACAAAGAATCCTTTCAGATATGTAAAACCAGCCCTTTTGAGTGGAAACATCTCCAGTTCATTACCTATTTCTCATATGCCATAGTTCCATGTCAGGTCATCACACTGGTGGCTTTTCTCTTGAAATTTCCATTTTTTTCTTTATATTATTTTTATCGATGTACTTCTTT